CCTAACCCTTACCAAGGCATTATAAAGTTATTATTATTAACACTTCACATGATCTTGATTCTATCCCTCTGTTTATGCAGCCTAGAACTGTGTTGGCTTTTTTGGCAGCTGCTGCACACTGCTAGCTCATATTTAAATGGTTGTCCACTAGGACTCCAAGATCCCTCCAAGATTCCAAGATCAATGGTCCTCTCTATCCAGAATGTGGACTTTATAGCATATATTGCAGTAGCTGAGCAGTGAGATGACATAGGTGTAAGTGGCAGGAGGGCTGATATATTAATGTGAAAGGGTGCACAGGCACAACAAAGGAAGCTATAAAAGATCCTTTTGGCTGTAGCTACCACTTACTCTTTGCCTCAGCTTGCCCCTAGTGCACTCCTGATTTCTAATTTGTACTGGTTGCCAATGTGTTTCTGTATATGATTGGACCTGGCTATCTGAGGGACTGCCTATCTCTTGTGCTTTCTTTCCTATCCAGGACAATCTGACAGTGTGCACATACTCTTGGTCCCCATGTTCATACAGTCTCATCTTTTGGGACCCACTTTCCCTGTAGTAGAGCTGCCCTCTGGAATGAGGTCCCCCACGAGAGCATTCCAAAAAGCCATGAAGGCCTGGCTATTCTTGTAGGCTTTAAGGTGGATTGTATGGGACTTCTCTGACTGTTTTTTTTTTGTTTTGGTTTGTTATCTGGGTTGCTTGTCTATGGAAACTCTCAATCATCCAGGTGGTGGTTATTCCAAGGGTGCTTTTTAAAAGACAACTGGAGTTTCTTGGTTTGTTCTTAGTGTCTTAAAAGAAGCTTCTTACATGAGAAGTGAAATGTTTTCAAGGGAAACAAAAAAGTCCAGTTGCCTTTTGAAAAGCACCTTTGGGAGTATTGTCCGAGTTGCCTTCTTGTGCTTATTTTTGTATTTTGTTCCCATCTACTTTGTTGTAGGTTTTTTGTGTGTTGTGTGTTCTTTATTTTGGGGGACAACCCCCTCCCCCAAGTAATTTGGAGTTGGATACCATCCTAATTGAATACATAAAAATAAACAACTGTCATTTGTACCAGAAACCTCTGATAGAAAAGTACAAAAAGAAGCAACAACATTGCAGAGAGTCGTGTCCCATTACCTGATTCACACACTATACTTCCTGGTTTCAGCTCAAGCATCATGGTGATTAAAGAGATATCCGTTGAATACAGGATTTGAGTTCTGTGGCGTAAATTCAGAGTCCATAACTCGGGGGTTGGATAAAGGATGTACACCCAACCTCCCTTGCTGCAGGTCACCTTGGAACCATACTCCTTTCCAATGAGATCAGTTGAGTGTCTAATAACACCATACTTAGTCTGAGTTTTACCACCATGTTGCACCTTCACTGGAAACATCGATTCATGTCCCAAGAAGACAATTGCCGTGTCTCCTTCTTTTATTGTATCTCCATACTCAATAAAACTCATCACGACAATGTTGTCATCGGCAGGTTATTGGCAGCTAAGGAAAAAGGAAACAAACACCCTTCAGAATCTCTCCTTGCTTCTCCTTATGTTAGCCTATCATTCTTTTTTCTTCTTCAAAACTACTCTTTCTCATTTAAGTTCCCCATCACCACCACCCCAAAAAAGCATCATTCCATATTTCCAAGTCATGATCTAAAGATGACCTACAATCCTAAATAGCTTTTTAACACAAGCAACTCACAAGAGAAATCAGTAATCTTACAGCTGGAATGGTTCAAGTTTAGTTTGATAGCATCAAGAAGTCCAAAATTCAGTCTTTTCCACTGTAAGAACTAGGCACAGGATGCAGCAGTCTCTAGCAGGCTATCTTATATTGATACTTATATAATATTCAGGGAGTACAAAGTCTGTGAAATGCATATTTAAATCCCAGTTCTTCTTTAAATGTGAGTCAGGTTCCCATGAAATAGCAATTTTAGATAATTGTCCTGCAGAAGCCCATATTCTCCAGTTGAACACCTTGCAAACTGGTTCCCTAAAATAGCAGATTCCTAGGAGGAGACTTGAACAGAAAGCTTTCAACTATCCAGCAAGGTCTAGCAATTCTGAACAAGATTCTTTTTTTAAAAAAGATTTTTTTAAAAATTAAACATTCCATCTTCCATTAAACAGTGTTTCTGGGTACAAATATCTCTGTGCAATAACAATCAAAATTTACAACAGTATTCATTATATTGATATTGATTCTCTAACCTTACAATAGTAATAATGGGCATAATGTATCTATTCATTTCTTTCTCTTAATGTATCTTCTAATAAGAATATAATAATATTAAATATAATAATCTTAATACTCATATTAGTAAGAAACATATTGTTTACTTCTCTCTTAACATGTTTTCTATATTTCACTGATCTCCATTTATTTCTAACTTCTATTTTTATTTTCCAACCATTCATAAAATAACTCCCATGTCATATAATATTCAGTTTGTTCTTTCTCCTTTATAGCAAGCGTTAATCTATTCATTTCTGCACATTCTAATATTTTCCTAATCACATTCTCATCCGTAGGGATCACTCCCCTTTTCCAGTTTTGTGCAAATACAATGCTAGCTGAGGTTAATACACGTATAATTAAATTTGCATTCCCTTTACTATAGGTTTCAGGTAAAATCCCCAACAAAAATATTTCTGGTTTTAAGTCAATGTGCTGCTTTATCATCTTTTCCAGCCACATTTGCATTTTTGTCCAATGTTTGTTTGCTTCTACACATGTCCACCACATATGATAATATGACCCAGGTATCTGGTGGCATTTCCAACATTTAGCTGACTTATCTTTAAACATCTTTGCCAACCTTGCTGGTGCAAGGTGCCATATATAAAACATCTTATACAGATTTTCTTTATATGCAGTTGACATTCTTAATTTATAATTCCTGCCCCACAAATTCTGCCATTTATCTAACTCTATTGTATAACCAAAGTTTTTTGCCTGTGCTATCATTGTCTCCTTTGTTTGCTGAAAAAAATTCTTGACACCCAACATAGATTCATACAGGAAGGTGATTTCACATTTCGAAGAAGGAAGGACAAGAACTGTATTCGGAGAAAATGGGACCAGACCAAACATAATGTGGCAGAATCTGAGTTTACTTTTTTTTCTTTTTTAATTGAAGCATATTTCCCACCTCAAATTTGTTAGAATGCAACCTATTTTCAATAACTGCAAATGGAAGTGGCAGCAAATGTTGCACAAAATGGTTAAGAAAGTCACCTAAGTGCAGTGTGGAGGGGGGAACAGTATCTCAAGTTACCTAGTCTGATTAGGTAGACAAGGAGAAGCTGCTTCTTCATATACATATGAAAATTGGAGAGGAGTACATTCTGAATTTTAACAAGCTTTTTAAAAAGCTTATTATGGGATAGAGCAAAAAATTATATTTGTGTTTATTTATTCATTTTCACTTGTTAAATATCTAAGGCCCCATGACACTGTTATACAATTTTAATAGGAGGAGAAGAAGAAGAATTAATAATGCAAGAGTGTTATGCCTGACTGGACGTTGTACCTTACAAATCACCGTGTCTATTCCAAAGGTTTAGAGCATTGCAATTACTTGACAAAAAGTTATTTGAGGTCTTCTGCCAGCATCACCATTTGATCTTTTATCGCAGCACGTAACTGCTGACCACCAAAATGAAGTCATAATTTCATATGGCTCCTATGCTTAATCAAGTAATCATTAAATTACACTCGACTTATATTTGATCTTTGTAGATAGGGACAAGAGTACTCTCATAAGTAGAGTTTTAATTCCAACACAAAAGTAATCAGAATTATAGCCAAATGCAGTTTAGAGTTGGAAAGCTAATGCAAGACTATGAATCTGCATTCTGACTTTATTAACTTATGTTTTGATTCTACATGTTCATGGAAATGTTTTAAAAATGAGAAAAAAGTAAACAATAGGACAAGACTAATTGGTAGGTAACATGAAGGCATTCTTTGAATGAGAAGATTCTGCTAAAGTATTAAAGGAATGCCAATTTTTAAAAGGCTTTGTTCTTATACTACTAAGAACTTCTTGACCACAGTTATAAAGCATTTCTTGGCATTGAAACAACTGGGAGGAAAAATATTAATTTGCCAGCTACTAAACAACAGGAACAAGAACCTTTTTTTTTTAAAGAGAAAGAAAAAATGACAACTCTAGGATATAATGTACCTTACAGTACCTTGAACAATATCCCTGAAAATATAAGACTGATTCCTTGATTATTTCCTCTTACTAAAGATTCTATACAGTGCCAGGAAAGAAAAAACTGTCAGAAAGAGAATCCCATTAGTCTAATGAAATAAAACCATATTTGAAAAAAATTAAGACATCAATGTCTTTCAAATTTCTCTTGATACACACCTTTGGAATTATGGGCCATTTTATCAAGAGATAAAATTAGATGCTTAGAATGATGCAAAGTGCAGAAACCAACCAACCAACCAACTCAACTTTCCCCTTGATTCACTGTAGAAGTAAAGGACATTGTACAATAGTTTGCTGAATATATATTTAAAGGGAAGCTGGACTGGAAAAAGATAAACACAGTTTTGAAAATGGAGGAAGAAACACCAATAGTCTATATTATGCTGATGGGATTAAGATTATTTATTTATTTATTAGGCTCATATACCGCTTCATAGGGCTTTCAGCCCTCTCTAAGTGGTTTACAATTTTTTTAGCAAATTGAGTCAGCAACTTGCTCCCACAGTCCGGGTCCTCATTTCACCCACCTCGGAAGGATGGAAGGCTGAGTCGACCTTGAGCCGGTGAGATTTGAACAACTGAACTGCAGATCACAGTCAGCTAAAGTGGCCTGCAGTACTGCACCCTAACCACTGCGCCACCTCGGCTCTTTTTACATATAAAAGACTAACCCAATGAAAATAGGCTTTAGATTTGACAATAAAGATATTGAAGTGGTACACAACTTCTGCCTTTTAGGAGTAATCTTCTACACAACAGGTGTCAAACTTGATCACCTCACGGGCAGGATCATGATGTATCATGATGTTTTGTGCCTTTGCAGAGATAGGTTGAACATGGTCTGCACTTGACGTATCTGGCCTGCGAGCTGCCGGTTTGACAAGCTTATTCTACACTAAAGAAACAAGCAGCAAAGAAATACACTACAGACCAGTACTTGCTAGAGTAGTTCTTGAAGGCCTGGAAAATATATTTAAATGCCATGATGTGTCTATATGTACAAATATCAGAATTGTGCAAGCAATGGTATGACACATTATAGAAGGAAAAGTTGGACTTGGAAGAAACAGGATAGAAAGAGTATTTGTCCTTATGGTCTTTTGTGGTGGAGAAAACACCTAAAAATAAAATTACAAAAGCAAACAATGGATCATAAAAACAAATCACAGTTCTCACTTGAAGCCCAAATGACCAGGCTCAAATGATTTTACTTTAGAAACGCTATGTAAAGACCTAGCTCTATGGAAAAGGTTAATAATGCTAGGAAAGGTGGAAGGAAAGAAAAGAGGACATCTAGAAGAAGGTGGACAGAATCAGTTACACTGCTGAAAGACTAGATTAGGAACAAATTGTCATGGAGAAAATCTATTTATGTTGTCCCTAAGAGTCAACACCAACTTGATGGCACATAATCTATCAGTCAATTAACCTTGCTAAAGAGCCTTTTTCTCCTTTTTGTTCTCCAAGAGAGAACATACCATTTATAGCAGATGAAATAGCTAGACTCATCTTTATAGCATTAACATTGGCTAAGCCATGCATAAAATTGTCTGGCATTCGTCGTCTTCTGCTGTGTCCATATATAATATTCCTATTTCAGCACTATACTCTTGTGCATCTGATGAACCCGATAGCAGTCCACAAAGATTACGCAGTAATAATTCCTGAAGTGATCAAAACTTTTTTCCTCCATCGTAAGAATTATTTCAATGTCTCTAAGACAACTGGAAAAATTGCTTTGCTAAATTTCCAGGCTGAATTCTGCGGAATATTTGTTTGAAACCAATTGCTATATTGGAATATGATTTGGGGGGGGGGAATACCAATAAACTGGGCTTTTTAAGGAGCAACTGTTAGATATGTCCAGCCCACAACCCACACACCACATGCAACCCTGGACAGTTAGTAATGTAGCCCCACAAGATAAATTTAAAAAAGAACTAAAAACAAATGTTATTTATATGCATTAATTATATTATATATATTTATATGCAGCCCAAGACAATTCCTCTTCACTCAGTATGGCTCAGGTAAGCCAAAAGATTGGACAACCATGTGTTAGATAGAAGTAGCTGGAACATATGTTGTTTCTTTTGTGAGTTTCAGCAGACCAGGTACAACATTTTACATATGCACTTTTAATATGCAATTGTTATATAGAAGTTTTAAAAACTAAAGACATTTTTAAAACCCCAGACTGAATTATAAGCATGGGATTTTCATATTTTATCCACCTCTTGCTTTAAAAAATACCCAATCCTTCACTTTCACGTTTCATTTTTCAGCCTGTTTTGCACTTGTGACCTACAAAGGACTTGTCCCTGTTTATCTTTTCAATAGGAGATGCTTCCGGAGGGAGAGGGAGAAAATAGGCACAAGATAATGCTTCTGTGTTGTATCGGAACATGGTTTGATTTTCCCCCTGCTGACTTCCCCTGCTCTTTAAAATTAATGAAATCGCAGGAGCCCTGCTTTCCTTTGGAGATTTTTGGAGATTGTAAACTTTCCCCTTTGTAAAGTTTAAAGTGGTCAATGCCTGGAACGTACTACCGGACTCTGTTGTTACATCCCCAAACCCCCATAATGTTAACCTTAGACTGTCTACTGTTGATCTCACTCCATTCCTAAGAGGTCTGTAAGGGACATGCCTAAGTGCACCAGCGGGCCTACGGCCCCTGTCCTACGGTCTCCATTTATTCATACCCATTTATTGTGTTCATATTTATGTTTATACTTATACCGGTTATCTTTTACATATTTGACCAACTAAATAAAATAAATGTCTACTCAAAAGAAGGTCCCAGAGTGGCGAATGGAGTGGCCTCTCTTGCAAAGAGGCGACCAAAGGGCAGTCATGGAACTGAAAGGGTGTCGTTTCTCGGTCCCCGGTTCCTTAAACAGCCGTTTGCTTTAATCTCACTTTACTCTTACCTTTCCGACTCCCTACTTGCATTCAGGCAAGCAGCATCAGATCAAGAGCAGAGAGCACAGCCTTGGCCGCTGGCAGACACGTGTTTCCAGTACTTCCTCTCCCTTGCTCGTCGCAGCCTGTGACGTTTGGTCCTCCCCTCCCTCGCCCTGGCATCGCCGGTCTCGAGTGGGAGGAAGCTCTTCCCCGTTTCCAGCTTGGTCGGAGCGTTTTTGCTTCCTTTTGCGGCGATGCAATTTATCTCCCGTCTCCTCTGTGTCTGGCTTCCCATTAGTTGCGTGGTGCAATCGGTGCATCGCTGAGGGGTGTTCGCTGTTACTCTTTTAAATGACCGAGAGTCGCAAATGCGCTCTTACGCGAGCGTCTCCTGGTCGGGTTTAGGCGGCAGCTCCATCCCTGCTTATCTCAATTGAGACTAAACTTCCCTTTGAATTGAAAAGGACTTCTGAGTAGAGCAGTGTTTCTCAACCTTGGCAACTTGAAGATGTTTGGACTTCAACTCCCAGAATTCCTCAGCCAGCGAATGCTGGCTGGGGGATTCTGGGAGTTGAAGTCCAGACATCTTCAAGTTGCCAAGGTTGAGAAACACTGGAGTAGAGCGTAGGATCGCTCTAATAAAATCGGTCTCTTTCGTGAATAGACTGCGAACCACTGTTATTTTGGCAAGATCAGCCCTGTCAAGGAAGGCTTGCATTGATTAAAGCTGGCACTTCATTTCTCCTTTACCGTCACTGTAATGCGATTACAGTATTAATCTGTGACATATGTTCCTGGTTTTGAGATTGCATATATCCCTATACCTACTTAATCTGGGTGCCCATACTTACCAGGCTGTTAGTTATTGTTTCACATTTTCAAAAATGTGATCAACCCTAGAATTATTTTTAAAGGAAGCAGATACTTTAAAGAAATAACTATGAGGAGTGAGAGAAAATGCTGTGGGCCTTCCTTAAATGTAAATTTCCATAAGCTCAAATAACATGTCTTACAGAATGCAGAAGATTCACCCATCACTTTTCTTATTTTGTGTCCATGATAGAAACTGTTGCCTACCCAATATTTATTATACGTTTTAAATCAGATCTGATTCCTTGAAAATACAGTAAGCCCTACGTTCTTCAATGGAATGTGTTGTCTGATATTGTAAATTTGGATATTTTTTTCCCCAGAGGCTTACTTAACATTGGTTAGATGTCATTCTTATGGCACCCTGTAAGGTAAAGGTCTACAGTCACCCCCATGTTGCTCTTTGTGTTGCTAAGATGAGGACTGAAATTAAGAGAAAGTGGATTTTTGTAAGTGGAGAATCACAGAATTCACGAGGATGTCATGCCAGGTTAGTATGTACAGTGTAGAATTTCAGTTTAACTTTCTCTACTACTATGCCAGTTCCCTAGCAATGTGTGCAGGATTGCAGCCTTGAGTCATGACTGAGGAACAAGCTAAACAAGCTCCAGAAAGAAGAAAGGGGCGGGCATGACTCTAATGTATACTTTATATGGTAGTGAATGCTTTTTTGTTAGTGTATGGAGTTTGCCAAGAAATAGCTCCAAAGCAATGTAAAATGCTCTTCCCAGAGCACATAGTGTAAACAAAATTAACATGACAAACATAAGAACAGCTTTGTCAATGCAAATTATTATTTTGCTCCTATAATGTTTCTCTCTGTTTTTTCAGCCTTTTAAAGAAAAACTCTTGGCATAAGAGTTGGGAAATAGTATGAAGAATAGCTCTTAGTTCACCCAGCAATTCAGTTCAAAGATTCTGCACATACTTTGTTTTTTAAAAAGGGATTTTGTTGTTGGGAACAAAGCCATAAAAACAGCCTTTATCCTTGTAAAACCGATTCCTGCCATTTGATTTATGCAGAATATGTGAGTGAACCTTTCTGTCTTCTAATTGCCACAGATCCCATTATCTCTGTGAAAAATAACTCCTTTCATCTTCAAAGCATCTTATTGATTAAATACAGTGTTTTTCAACCTTTTTTGTGCAAAGGCACACTTTTTTCATGAAAAAATCACGAGGCACACCACCATTAGAAAATGTTAAAAAAAATTAACTCTGTGCCTATATTGACTATATATAAAGTAATTTTCCCACGGCACACCTTACACTATGTCACGGCACACTAGTGTGCCGCGGCACAGTGGTTGAAAAACACTGGATTAAATAACAGAGGCCGAGAAACACTGATAGTGAACCCCCTTTTAAAAAAACCTCCAAACATTCAGGGAAAATTACAACATATTTTTCTTACAAGAGCTTTAATATAATTATAATAAAAGAAAGCATCCTGACCAAAAAAACTCATAATAAGTTTTACATCTTCAGATATTACATTCTTACATGATTGCAGCATTCATCGGCTTTAGGGAGAAGTTAGCTTACAAATAAATAAGAGGGTGGCAGCCTGGGAACTAAATCTTATCTATTTAATTTAGGTATGTGCTGTATTGTTATACTGTCATATTTCCTAAGGACTCTCATTGTACAGTTAAATTCAATGCTCATTAAAATAACTGAAGAAAGTCCACCTAATAAACCATATAAAATTATATACATGAATAGTGTATAATTTATTGGTCATGTGTTTTCTTAGTGGTATGGAAATGATGATTGATAATTGGAGATGGTGGTTGGTAATTCCTTCATTTCCCAGGTTCAATCTAACACCTTCATAAACAGAAGTTTTATCCTTACCTGTAGAAGGGAGTTGCCATGATGAAAATTGTATTTTTGCTAAGGAATTGTGGCCCATTACTGTTAAGGAGCAGAGAATATTAAGAGACAAGATTAGCACGCTATTCAAGAGTATAAGATACTACAGATCTAGGATACTAATAAGCCTGGTAAGTTTTCAATTGCTCTTTGTAGCCCTTCATTGTCCTGCATTTTTATGTCATTATGGCTTTTTCTGATTTTTTATTTTATTTTTGCAGATCACACCTATAAGGAGTTAGTGGAAAAGTTGGCAATGGCTGTCTTCATGTAGGTATTTTTAAAATTAGATCTATGTCTGTGATTTCACAGCATCCTGACATGTAGGTATGAATCAGATGCTTTGCTTGTGCTTTTCCCTTTCTGCCAGAAAAAGCTCCACTTGCTAAAATAACTTCAAAAAGTTCCACCTACTATATGCACCTACTAAATAACAAATGCATGAAGAAAGTTGATAAAAAGTGGACCTAAGCTTTGTTAATAATTATTTTTAAGATAAGCGGTATTATCATTGGCCATTTGACAAGTATAAGGAAAATGCTGAAATGTAAATCATTTTGCTATTTTTGTAGCAACCAGACTTTCATTATATTTCTTGGTCTCAAAAATATAACTTCAGCATGATTGCATAACAGATGCAGCTCTCCTGGTATAACTGAACCGTAGCTCCTAGCAATTCCACTCAGCATGGCTAATAATGAGGGATGCTGGGAAGTTTGTCAACATCTGAGGATAAATTGTGCATTCATGTGACACAATTAAATGTGTTAGGTTCATGTCCCCGAAGCTGTGACATTCGTTCTGTGCAAAGACATGTCCTAAATCCATTAACATTCAGGGGCAATATCGGATAGACTGTTAGATTCTCTCACAACATTTCAGAAATGTAATCTTCTTTTCCCATAACACTTTGTAGCATTTATAATTAAGCCCCTGGGGAAACTCCTTGCATGGCCCTAGAGTAAATTCTCCTCTGCTTCCTTGATCTACATCCTGGAAATCTTTGCAGCAATTGCTTCTGAAGCCTCGGTGTTTGCTTTTTGCTTGGGCCTCTCTACTATGTAATATCACAAGGCATTTAAAAACCTAGCCATGGCAGTATGTAATGCTTACCTTCTCTTCCAGAGTGGTTGCTTACAAAGTTTCAGAGATGGTGAGATGGTGGAAGTGTCATTTATCCGCAAACTCCCCAAATATAGTGGTCTGCATCACACTGTGCTTGAAGCAAAGAACAACAGTGGTAATTAATCCACAGGGGAAACTGAGATGGGCTGATGTAAGAGAAAGTAGGCAGATCCTTTTATCTGTTCATGATCTCAAGGACAAGTTGCCAGTTTGCATTCACAAGGGTGCCATTAGAACTTTACTCTGGGTACTCTGAGTGGAGTCCCCATTTGGCAAATACTGTATGAGCAACACAGCCTCACCAATAAACTTATCTGCTGTATCTAAAAACTGCCAGTATTAAATTATTCAAGCAGATGCTAAAATTACATAACTGCACACTGAATTGTAGCTAAAGCATTAGTATATTTAAAATGCTGGCATGTGCATGCAATGCCAAAAACATAGATCTAAAGGGTGCTATATTTAATAGCTGTAAGGCAGACTTTAAATGAGACATCACTTTTATTTGCTGACAATTGACTGCCCAAATTCTGACTGTTGAAAGTTTGCCTCTTTTTTATTTTTTCCTCGGTCATCCTATTTTGTTCCTTGTATTAGATGGAGCAGAATAGAAGACTTGAATTTAAACAATTGCTGTAGCTTTCTTCACGCAGTACTTACATCTGAGGATCCTTTTAATGTTTCCCAGCCATTTATATCTTAAATGAACAGGAAGATTATATATTTTCCTCTCTTGCAATTTGAATTTAAAAAAAGAGATGGTAACTCTGCTATTAGAGAGAGAGAAGGTTTTAGGAGAATAAGTTGACACTGTGATTAACGCAGCCATCAAGTCCATCAATTTTAAGTTAACCATGACTAAACATGTTATGCAAACACAGCTACTGACTACTTTCTTTGAAGCTGCATTTGGATATCCATTTAAATAAGAAAATAATTGGGGGGGGGGTGGAATGTATGAGAGAGAGAGAGAGGTAGCCAGAGTTTAGTTCCTCATTTCTATTAAAATTGTCATTCCACACTAAGTTACAGTATAGTGTCTTTGCTTTGAACTTACCTTTTGGGTCTCCAATCTACTGCAGATAATTTAATAAATCATGGTTCAGCCAATATGTCTAACAAGATGTGTCTAATAATAAAAACTTGTATGCATTATGTCATTTTTATTATATCACCAATAAAAATGGTGAAGAAAGGATAATCTAAGGTTATACTTAGGAGGCTTGTTGTGAATTATTTATTGTGATGGTGACAGC